CGCTGGGGAGGGGCAATGCCCGGCATGGAGGGGGTTAACACTAGCCCTGGTGCCCGGCACGAGAGGGGTTAATGCCACCCAGCGCAGGGGGCTGCCACCCAGCCCTGCTGCCCCGAGGTCCTCGCCGCCGTGCCAGCCGCAGGGCAGGGAGATGGGGCCACTGCCCCGTGCTGCTCCCCGCACGGGGGCACCGACCTGCCGCGCTCCTGGCTCAGACTTGGGGAGCTGGAAGCACTTCGTAGCGGGGCGTGGGGGCAGCTGCTGCATTTGTGAACTGTGGGGGGCACTGCCACCTATTAGCTGCAGGGCATAGTGATACCCCCCTCTGCGCCCGCGGGGGCTTCCCCTGCAGCAGGTCGTGGCCTGCGGCGTGGGCCGAGGCGGTGCCGTGCCGGGGCGTGGCACCCCGGGCTCCGCCATGCGCGTGCGGGAGCTGCAGGCTGCCAGGGTGCTCCGGGCACCGCCCTGCCCTGTGATTTGTTTGCTCCTGGAGTGGGTAGCCCAGCCGCTGTGGGTGCCAGGAGCAGCTGGCGGTGGGCTCTGAGCAAGGGCGTTGCCCGGGCTGGTTCGCCGCTGGTCTGAGACTGCTGCGGCATTGGTGGCAGGGGCACTGCCCTGATCTCTGCCCGTTGAGCTGATCCCCGACCCAGGGGCTGGGTAAGAACTAGGTTGCCGCAGCGCCGTGCCGGGAGCTGGGATAATGCCCCCCTTGGGGGCAGCTTGGCTGGGCTTGATCCCCAGAGCAGGCCCTTATATATCACGGAGAAACTGAGGCATGGATATAAATAGAAGCGCAGCTGCCACGATCTGTGGCTCCCACCCCAGGGAGCTCTCTCTCGCCCTGCTCCTCCTGAGGGAATGGGATCCTGGCCCCCTGCTGTAGCTGCCTTGAGTCCTCTCCATGGCTGCAGCCTGGGCTTGGCGGGATCCCGTGTCCGCTCAGAGCCCCGGTGCCCGGAGTTGGGGATGATCGGAGCCTGCGTTGGAGCCGGCGTGGCGTAGGGCACTGCACCAGCCCACGAGGCACCGAGAAGCTCTGCAAGGAGTTGGGCCGTGGGCGACATCCGGGCCCGATCAATGCTGCAGAGATGGCCTCTCTCCATCCATGCCCGGGTGCGGCCGCCTCTGTTCCCAGCAGCTGCTTTGCTCCTCTGTTTTTTCTGTATCAATTGTGGGTGCACGAGAGTTTCCATCGCTGGGCCAGGACTCCTGGGTTCCTTCCCTAGCTCTGCCATCCGCTGCCCAGGCTAACCGCACAGACTAATATCCTCCGATACGTCCTTTTGGGGGGCTCCCAGCCTCTGGCGTGCCCTAGTGCCACAACAGTGGATGGCTCTGGGTTTGTGCAGCACCTTGCACGGAGCAGACCTGTGGCAATCCAGAGAAACCGTCCCCTAGTAATGTGCCCCTTTCTCCCACGGGCTTTTATCTACCCCTCCCCTCCGGTCCTGTGAGAACCACGCGATCTTTACCATGTTTATGCTCATGGCAGAC